TGGAAATAATTTGGAACAAGGGATTATTTCGTCTCGACCGAACATGCAATTAATTATAAGCTTAAGGCCTTGGTCCCTTTTCCTGCCTTCTGCCATAATATATTTTTGGCTCTTGCTTTTGGTGTTGTTGTATGAAATATTGTGCCGAACTATAAACTAAAATACAACTATTCACTTCCAAAAACTTTACTCCATGAAGAAACACATAACACTTTGAAATACAACAAAGGCGACCACTATAACAATAATACTATCAAAAAGTGGAAACATCTATGGGGTATTTACCGTAAGTATACACAGTCATGCTCATGTATAAATATTTATAAGTTAAAAGATAAAAACCTTAGCCCGAGTAGAAGCCGTAAGTATTGTATACGTACATATATTTATTATACATATGTATATGAACGAGTATGTTTGTGCGTATGTAAATGTGCATGTACTTTAGGCTAGTGTAAGTATTGGATTTCTCTCATATTTGTCATATTCACTTGGTTGTACATAGTATTAGGGTTTGTATGGGACTCTATATGAAACGTACAGGTTTTCAAAAAATGGCGTTAAAAAATCGAAATGATCATTATTTTATCTAAAAGCACATTCAAATCGTAGAATTTAATATGCTTGTAGGCACTTACACAGGATAATTTTCTCATAACAACCGTATGTAAGGTAAAAGTTAAATTGCAACATCTTATTAGAGCGTCTATTATAAAGAGTTTATAGAAAAGTTATCTTTAAGAACAATTCTCTCTCCTCAATTGATTCAAATATTTATTTACCAACAAATTTTGCATCAGTTATGAATCATGATTCAACCTGATTTACATACTGCAATTAAGTACAAAAAATAATACTAGATTCCCAAAAATTTATTTCTACAAACTGCTTTTCAATAAAACTTAATACCATTCATCAGACTATGATTTCAAAACTTATTTAAAACAATATAAAAGTAGACATATTATAACATAATATAAACTAATAATGCGGTAACAAATAACCATTATTTGTTAGAGAAAGTCCATATTCTAAAAGAATCGAATGGCCGCTTAGTTCTTTTTCCTTCTCAGAGTAATGCTAATGTACAAAGAACGAATTGATTTATCCTATTTGTATCATATACTACATTTATTCTATTCATCCGTTATACGAAATTTCAATAAAATTTGAAAATAGCAGTAAAATATTCTTAAAATGAACGGATAATTCGAAAAATTTGGTGACAGTGATTTTTTTAGAGATTTCTTATTGATTAATTGAGTGGAATAGATAATAACAAATTTTATATAAAACCAATTTTAAATTATTAGTTTAAGTTATGGTAACCAACCTAGTACAAGCTTGCTTTCAACTATACCACAGCTCGAAAATATTAATGGATACTTCCATATACAATATTTGCATATTAACAGGAAAGAACATGAAACTATTATTTATTCCCAAAAGTTTAGGGCAACATCATTATCTTTTATGTACACGGCATAAATATACAACATTACCCACAAAATTAAAATCATAAAGATGGCATAGCGTAAACAAATTTACATGAGGAGAAGGAAAAACTTCAAAGTTGTAGTCTACTTTGCTTACTACTTAATTTAGTTTTTCCACCCTCGTTTCCAGATATCTTTTCTTGTAAGGCTGCATATGCACTCTTATAAGGATATACATTTTCAGATGTATACATATGTGGCATATGTGACTACATACTCGCAAACATATAATGCGAAAACGCTAAGAGTCTCCATTCGTCTAATGTGTGTTCTTTCTTTCACTGCGTGACATCCAGGATTGTGCACGAAAGTACATATGTACATACCACACTTATAGTATTTTACTCACCCTGCAATTTCGACTCAAAACCATAAATGTAATTATACAAGTATATATGAAAGCACGTACATATGTATGTAGGATGACTGAAGATGCTAACGAAACTTCGCCCTCAAAAATAACTTGAGACAACTTTCCTTCGGAGGACTGTTCAACCACTTGCACTGCTACACACCCCAACCTTGTCCACTAGTGCTATGTTGGGACCTTGGAATAGTTTGAAAACATCCCCATAAAATCTTTTTCGGTGAACACTTACATATATTGCGTGAGCCGTGTGTGCATGTTGTGGGTACTTGTAAGCAAGTGTGTAAATAGTCCTTACTATATTTATACATATAAATGTGCATATACATATGTATGTGTAAATACATACAAATATACACATGTACTTAAAACTTAAATGAATTTCCGATTATTTTTGCGAATTGTAAATTAAAGAAAAAATTTTAAAGTTTTTGTGAATTATTTGTGACGACACAGTTAAAATCAAAATAAAGTACGACATTTTCACGAAAAAGTATTAAACAAGTAAGGAAGTCTTAAGTTCGGAAGTAACCGAACATATTATACTCTCGCAAAGTCAAACGGTATAGTCGTTTGAGATTTTGTTTATATATTTTGCTTGATTTGCATAGTGGATAGTGAAAGAATCAGATGGAATTTAAAATGGTGGTATATTTGAAATAGGCATGGTTGTATTCCGATTTCGCCCATTTTCGTACTATAACCTAGAAATATGAAAAGAATATTATGGACCGAATTTGGTTGAAATCAGTTAGGCAGATTCCAAGATATGGGTTTTCCCTGTCTATTTTTAATCGAGGTTCCTATAAAGTCATTTCATACCTTCCCAGAGTAAAGTCTTATGTGTCTGGCGTTTTTAGTGCTTGATTTAACGCGCTTTTAGTAGTTTTTAACAGTACCGTTATATGGGGAGTGAGCGGGGTTGTCACCCGATTTCACCCATTTTCACACTGTGTATTTGGCCCCACGCACACTTTTTAAACTTCAGATGCCCCTACCTAATATGAGCCTGTATACCAAATAAGAGTCTTGAATCTTATTGTGGAGTTACAGACGGACGGACGGACGGACAGACAGTCACCCGGATTTCAACTCGTTTCTTCATCCTGATCATTTATATATACATATATATAACCCTATATCTATCTCATTTAGTTTTCGGTGATACAGACAACCGTTAGGTGAACAAAACTATTATACTCTGTAGAAACATGTTGTGAGAGTATGACAATATAGCAAAAGCAATAATTATTCGAACGTGGCTTAGAAAAAAGTATGATCCGAATGATCTGAAATCAAAAAACTAACTTTTATTGAAAAATAAAAATTTCTTTAAGCTTTAACGCCGTCATTCTACAAATAATTAACAGAACTAAAGCACTAAACAATATTTACTTATTTATTGACCTTAATTTCAACAAGTCCCGTTAAAATTTCATCTGTAGTTAGAAACCGATATTTGAAGAGCGTGTTGTCAAGAATTATAAGTCGTTTTCGGTGGTAGACCGCGTAAAATTTTTAGCCATGAGGATATGACCATAGTGCGCTCAATAAAAAGATATCCCTTTATATCAGCTAGATTAATCCCGAGCGAATCGGGCTTGAATATTTCGTGCAGGTCCATCCAGCGACGATAGTCTGTAGAAAATCCTGCGATACTGCGAAAATCGAAAAGCGCGGCTTGAATTTGCAAAAGTTCACGCTATCTAAAGCATTACAAAATAGAGGAATGTACTTTTTTCTGATAAGCCCATGTACAATATTAGAGGAACTGATAAATTCAAGCTAGTACGAAGACGAAAAGGTCAACGTTTGAATCCGCGATATTCACAAGGTACTGTGAAACATGGGGGAGGTAACGTAATGGTCTGGGGATTTTTCTCAGGTTATGGAGTAGATCCGATCCATTAAATTAATGGCATCATGGATCGTTATGCTTCCTCATGCTGACGAGGAAATGCACACGGCCAAATGTGTAAAGGATTGGTTTATTTCCAATAAAATAAAAGACCGCGCAATCACTACGTTTTTTTTAATATTTCAATAAAAATGTATATTTTTGTGAAATAAAATAGAAAATATTAATTTTATAACAGTAAATAAATTAAATGCAGCTAAATGGTTATGTGGTAAATTTCGTGCATTAGTTTTGTTCGGGCTGCACCGAAGCTGTAATACATTTCACAGGTGCGGTTCTTATAGCAACTACATATATGTACAAGTAAACCTAAAAAAATAACCGGCGATTTGTATCCAAAGGAAATCGTTTTGCTAACAACTGAAGGCGAATATCGGTCACTTAATATGGGAAACAGATCTTTTATGAAGATATGGCTTTGATCGGTCAGTTTAAATTGCAGCTATATGATATAGTTGTCCCATCTGAGTGGTTCGAAAATTGTAGCGTTGCCTTGGACAATAATTTATGCCAAATTTCGTGATGTTATACTATTCTTAAATAAAAAAGTTTTCTATATAATCTGTTGATTTTTATCGATCATTTTGTAAGCCAGCTATACCTTGTATTGGTCCGATATAATTGGTTCCGACATATGAGAAGCATCTTGGGGAGAAAAGGTCATGTGCAAAATTTCAGATCTATTTCTCAAAAACTGAGAAACTATGATCTGCAAGACGAGCTGAGTCTATTTAGCCATGTCCTTAGTCTGTCTGTATACTCGCAATCAAGTCTCTCAGATTTTAAAATATCGATTGTCGGAACTGCCGATATCGGTAATACCTCTGATCCCTGAAATAATATAAAATGTTCATTTACACCCGAATTTAGCCTTTTATTCTTTGTAAATCATATTATCATGTTGAGTGATACCTTTGAAGAATTTATTCCTTAAGACCTCCGTTTGAGCCCGTAATGAAGTAATCATGGTTGTGTTGCCTCTCGGCCATAACACTATTTGATTTCATTGCTAAGTTATTATATTTGTATTTAAAATGAAATTAAAAGAGCACTCAATAAGGAAATATTTAATATATTTAATATTTTTATAAATTTATTTCTTTTTAATATAAATGATTCATACATATTATTGGACTAAGAGATTACTCTTTTTTATTTATAATATTACAAAAGGTTTAGAAATAGTTTCAAATAAATACCGTATGTAAACTTCGCTTTTAATATTATTTATACTTCACAAACTCTTAAAATAATTATATTTTCTTTAGATAATCGCTTTAGTATGAAAATAACGCTTTTTTTAAATTCCTAATATTTGGAGTACGTTGTATACATAACTAAGTTGGTTATACTTATTTTTTAAAACTACTACATTATATAAAACCAAATATTTTATGCATTTGTATTGCCGAAAAATGTCCTAATTTTATGTGCACGCCGATTCGTCCCCTCTCCTTACACTTTGTGGTCACATCCGACTGTACTCCAAAGTACAAATATGTTTTGTACATATTTACAAGTATGAATGCATCCAAAATACTTATGCCCAGTTGATTATGTACATGCATACGTACCCACATACATAAATACTTCCTTACATATGCCAGCACGTTGTGTCCTCTCGGATTCATGATATAAATTTTATATGCAGTTTACTAGACAAATTCTAATTTGCATTATTGTAGTTGTTTTTGTTGACATTTACTCCTCTTTTTGCATTTAAAACTTGTGCCGTGCTTATATTTTCTGCAACTTGATGAAAAATTTAGCTGATGACATAAGTTGCATACCTAGAAACCAAGGAGTAGCAAGTGGCATCAGCAGCACATGGGCGGTTCAGAGCTCTGAAATGAAAATCACATTTAAAAAATTAATTAAGTTTCTTAATTAAGCCTTAATAGTTGTAATTATAAAAGTCATTAAAGACATTCAAAGAAATCCTACTCTTTTGCAAGCAAAATCCGCCTTCTAATCGTCCCAACTCTGTTGACTACGTGTAGCTTACACATATTCTCTTTTTGAATGCCTTTAAACGACAAAAAGTTAGCCAGCTACTTGATAATTATACCAGAGACCATATAAAATAACATAAATGATCAGCAGTCCTCAGTCTTTAAGATATTTGAAATTTTGCACACGTCCGTTCCTCCTCCAGAAGCTGCTCATTTGTCGGAACCACCGATATCGGACCGCTATAGCATGTAGCTGCCACACAAACTGAACGATCGAAATCAAGTTCTTTTAAGGAATATTTTTTATTTGTGAAGTGTGTTATAGTTTGGGTGGAACCGAAGTTAACGTTTTTTCTTGTTTTTTTATGCGTTTAGTTATTCTTTAAAATAGTAAGTGTAGGCATTTAAGTTTTGAAAATACATTTTTAATTTTTTTTTTATCATTAGATAGATATGTCAGGTCAAGATAGTCAAGTTTGGGTCCACAATTATTAATTTATGTATATATATGTTAAAATATAAACAAATAAAAATACATATAATATTGTATAAATTCTACAGAGTCTATTGCAAACAGCGCAAATTTCTCTGGTTCACTCTTACTAGCATTAATTTCCTTATGTGAGTATGTTTGTAGGGCAGTGAAGAAGTACTTTTCCCTGCAGATCCGCTCATGTTTTTGTATGCAAATTCATCAACTTGTTCACTTCCACTAATTTCAGCAGTTAACTTCCTTTGGTTTTTGCAGTTAACTTTAGCAAGCATGCAAATATTGCTAATGCCGAAGTCAGTGGTGCTGCCTAATTTCGGGCCTGATACAAACAGTAAGGACAGTTGCCAGCCAGGGCCAGTTGTCAGCCAGCTTTGAAAGGCCTGTAGGATAAAAGGGCGTAAACAGCGTTGCCACTTCAAAAATGCACACGTTGCATGAGAAGGAATTTTAAATCCACTGGATAATAACTCAATAACATAGTGATTTCGTGTGCTGTGTGTTCTTTTTCACAACTTAACAAGCGGAACTCAATCGTCGTGTTCGACCTAGTGCATTTATACATGCCCTGAAAGTTGAGGATAGTCAGTGGATTTTTCGACTAAACACATTTGAAAATCTAGTTACCGGAAAGATCAAGTATATTATTGTATCATTTAACAAATACAAAGTAAAGTAGGGATCGAGAGCATTGTGAGTAAGTGCACACACTTCGGTTACGCCAAATATCTTTTCCTCACCACATGAGAGTATTCAAAAAAATCAGTAACTAATAATCAATAGATATGTCATATAACGCTCTAACGCTTAAAGTGCTTAACGGAAACTTTTTAGCATAGTCTTATGGTCTGTATGAGCCTTTGAGTCTTTCACCTAAAAAGGACTTTGCAACGACTACTTTTTATACAAAATTTTAGATGTCCCTCTACCTTAGAAGGGGTTAGTAATTAAAATATGTGGCAACGCTGAGGACATGGAAATGTGCGAGCACATGTACATATATATATTGAAAATATGTAAAAGAACACTTGCTCATAACAGAAATTTACGGCAAGCAACTATTATGTATGCACATGAAAATTCAACTCCCAAGTTCAATAAAAGTTACTCCTTTCATCTCGTTCTACATGCAAATAAAATCTGACTCTAGCAATTTGTTTATAATTTTGTTGCTCCTAGTTTGTGGAGCTTTTTGTTTTTGTTTATTACTCAATGCAATTCTTAAGCGAGAAAATTATTCAGAATACCAGAGAGGACAGACGTTGCCCGATGGTGCAGCAAATTTCACCAGAGCCACTATTCATATTCGAAGATTACAGGGTCATACAAATTCACTGCACGTGAATGTATATGTAAGCAAGTCTATTCGAAGGACGGATGAATAAACTTTAGTTTTTCTTAATTTATTTGAGGCGAAAATGTTTTGCGAATTTATAATTAGCACGACCATGCTCGTCCATCCTGCAAAATGGCGGACAGGTTCAGCTGGGTAATGGCGCAGTATGAGTAGGGGTGTATTGAAATTTAGTAAAACAAATATGAGTGATGAGAGGTTTTGCTGCAGGCAATAGTTATAAACCAATTTATTGAGTTGTAGAGTTCGATAGTTACACAATATATTCTTGCAATGAAATATACACATAGTTGACAACAAGCTGAGCTTGTAATATGTTTACCAAAATGCTGAGTAAGAAAAATATGTAGAAAGTCATAAATATGGAATTTGATATAGTCAACGAGTATCGGCAATGTCAATAAGTTCATCCTTACAGGATTCATTTTTTTGCGTGTCTATATTCGATGAAAGAAAACGGTGATGGAAAACATATACATATTGTATATATTACGAGTATGATACTATACACATATAATTGCAAATGTAATACCGAGTCTTTATTCTATGTACATACATTATACTCGTACAGTTTACAGATGAATAGAAACTCATTTACGTTAGTTCCGACAAGAAAGGCACAATTAACGCCTTTATAATTAAGTGTGTATTAGGTAGACTGCTTATGGACATACAAGTATAGGTATATGTGTGTTATTTATCTGAAGAAAGCCAGGTACTCGGTTAATTTAATTAAATGGTGTAGCCAAATATTTCAAAAATGCTTGAATATATAAATAAGTACATACATACATACATATGTATATGCAAGTATTAAAGCGGAGACATATAACCTTGTATTTCCAGGCTTAGAATTATCAAAGTGATGCGGCTGGTATCTCGATATTTCTACCCTGAACAAGGTATATAAAGTTTGCCACGCTACGTGACGAATTATGTCGATTTAGCCATGCTCGTCTGTTCGAAATTTTGCCCACTTCCTTTTCGCCCCAAGATGCTGCACATTTGTCTAAACCGCCGTTATCGGACTACTAGAGCATATATTGTAGCTACCATAAAAACAGAACTATCTCATGTCCTATATCATGTCCTTGTAAGCAAAACTTTTTTATTTGACGATATATCTTCACGAAATTTCGCTTATTGCCCAAATTAACGCTAAAATCTTTGAAAAAATCGGACCAATATAACATATAGCTCCCATACAAGCTGACCAATTAAAAGTTAGTTATTGTATCGAAGCCTTTTTATTTGTGAAGTCAAATGAAGGAAACGTCGGAGACCCTATAAAATATGTACATAAATGATTGACATGATGAGCTGAGTTGATTTAGCCATGTCCGTCTGTCCGCCCATCTGTATATACGCGAACTAGTCCCTCAGTTTTTAAAGCTATCGATCTAAAATTTTTACCTGTCCTTTAATCACTAAGCAGCTACTGATTTGTCGGAACGGCCGATATCGGACCACTATAGCATATAGCTGCCATACAAACTGAACAATCGGATTCAAGTTCAATCTTAAAGAGATAGTTTCTACATTAAATTATAAAAATAGAAGCAAAAAGCTTCGAATACATTAGGAGTTCATCTCAATTTTCTGTCTTGCGTACCTGTTAGAACTTCTAATAAATCCTCGAATAAAAACACTTTGTTTGACTCAAATTACGTTTTAAATAACAAAAATTACTTGTATGAATGTATGCACAAATGCAATACGACAAAGTTCGTGCAGCTTCTGTTACTGATGCTCTTTATTTAATTTTAGGTCTTTAAATGCCCTGAATGCATTTCAACTTGTCAAAACAAGATGCTGCCAGCATTAAAAGTGCATTTGTAATCTTTGGTTTAAATTTGAAATTTTCATAGAAAAAATAGCCAAAAATAGGATAAATAACAAACTGAGATACGCATAGCATTAGCTTGTGAGAGAGTCTAGTAACAACAATAAAACGCAACTCAAACAAAAGTGATGAACAAAGGAAAAAACTTTACGAAGTTTATGTTGTCGACATTGCAACTGCAATTCTATGGGCATTGCGAATATGTAAATTCACTCGCTCCCATATACAAATTTTTACACAAACATACATACATATATATATATATATATATATATCGATATATATCCAATTGCGAATTCGAATTCGCATTCCCTTGCAAACATACATATTTAAATATATGTAAATTAATATTAATTACATACACATGTCCATATACACTTATTTTAACTTGTGTGTTCACATGTTTGCTCGGGAAAATTACTAAACTTTCGCAGTCTATTCAAAGGTTCTGTCTGTGACTTCTATAAATGGAAATGAGGCGACTTAGGAAATGCTTACTACTATTTCGAATGCAGGCCACAATGCATTGTAAATTGAAACTTTGTGTGAACTTCCACAAAAAAATATTAACACTGTAGACTTTTATACTGGTGTGTATATAGATATGAGTGAGTGGTGGTAATTGTGGGCGGCTAGGCTGGCATAACTGGTGTCAACTGTGTTAGTAAATGCTTTGTGGCTTCGACGGCTCCTAGATTGGCTCTTATTTTGACTTTTGATCTATCTATTTTCACCAAAATTTGGTATATCAGTTTCTAACGGACAATTCTTTTCGCTACTAGCTTCGTAAGATCTAAATCATTTTGAATTTAAAATAAAACTGTTTGAATTTTCCTACTTTGTATCTGAATGTTCACTGCCAAATTCGGGCAGAAGAAGTTATGGACCGATTTCAAAAGAAAGCGTAAATATTCTAAGAGCTACTTGTTTCTTAATTATTATAATTCTTAATCTTATTTAGAATTTTCTGAAGCATTAAATTCGCTATGTGGGCACATGCTTGGTCGGGAAATGTATGCTCTGTTTTCTTTTTTTTTTTAAAGGACAGTTGCTATATGTCAAAAGTATCAAGTGATTAATTTAGATATCTTTTATAATAGTTTAGGTATCCCTAACTTTTTGAAAAGTAAAAGAAGTTTTAAGTGCTCCGATCCTTCCGTCTTTCTCTAGTTGGGTGTGGTTGAGATCGAATTCCTCTTATTTTT